TGTATTATCTTTAAATTAATGAAAAAAGCAGTACATGCTTTTTGGGCAATGTACCCTTAAACTTTACAAAATGAGGGGTACCACATAACGAAATGAAAAACATGTTGCTCTTGTTAAATTGTTTTTCTCTCTTCAAAAAGGAAAACAAATTAGGTCAAAGCATATTTTTTTGACCCTTACAATTGGTTTTTGATTTTGTGAAATCAACAAATAAAAGCATCTTTCTCCAAATTAAATAAAATTCCAGATATGCATTTGTACGATGTACGTGCCCATACAGACACGTATTGACTTAAACAAGAAAAAACATTCTGGTTCAAACTGAGAGCTGAATTTTTGCAACTGAAAATGCAATTAAATAAGTTTGGTTATAAACTGTTTGAAATTAAATTAAAACCAATATGGAAGCTGTATTCGATGGCCTCGATAATTAGATATGGAGATATGCAAGTAGCAAGGCGACAGTTCCCAAGATTGCACTTTAGGTTACTGCGTTATGTTAATTGCTTATACATTTCTTTCGGAAAGTTCGAATGAAACTATCATTAACAGGTATATGGATATTTTAAAAACAGCAAGATAAGGAAAAATATTTTATGTGCATTTAGAGGCGTATTTCCCCGCTTTTTTAAGATACTAACCACCATTGTACGTCGACGGATGGAATTTATAGAATTTTTTTTCTAAAATCCTGATCAAAACAAAATACCATTTACACTTTTAAAAAATCTTTAAAACTGTGGGCACTGGACAGGTTTTAGCGTATAGGCGTTAGAGTTGGCGCAAGAATCTTTTGAATCTGCATGCCTCATCATAACTTGTTAGCTTTTATAGTTTCCGAGATCTTAGCGTTCATACGGACGGGCGGACAGATAGGGCGACGGATAGACGTACACAACTAGGTTGACTAGAATATATTTGATATACTTTATAAGGTCAAAAACGCTTCCTTCTACCTGTTACATACTTTCCGATGAATCTGATACACCCACTCACTCTGCAAGTAACGGGTATAATCTTACGGATTATCTGATTAAAGGCTTTTCATTTATTACAAATGATGAAAATGAATTAAAGTGCACTCAATGCAACACTAATTTTTTAATATGGCTTTGTATTTATAATTACAATCAATTTATAATCGGGTTAGGTGAGATTCTTATGGCCGATAACCCTTAGGCATGCTAATGTTTTTGCACTTGCGTAGTCTGGTGCGTTTCACTTACAAGTTGCTGTGCGGATGTTCTATTTTTGGTGTATCAAGTGCTTAGTTACAAATTAATTGAGATATGTATGTTGCCATTATGTAATACCCGCACTTAACTCCTTACGTATGTTAGAATATGCGGCAACCTTTTTGCTCAGCGCACGTGTCTTAAAACCGCTCTTGAAACGTTTAGAAAGCTTTCAATTACAGCGACTTATCTCTTACATATGTGCTGGCATTTATTTATTCACCTGTCCTGTAATCCCTAAGCCACTTACCTTAACTTCCTGACACAGCTCCTCCACGGGGAGTTTCAGCTTGTAGGTAACCTTGTCAAAAAACAAAAATAAATGGTCAACAACGTTGATTAAAATTGTGCAATCAATTAAATGCAACTATTTCTGTTTACCCACATGAGAGCCCTTTTACATGCTTACAAATTCGTTTACAGTGGGGATTAGACAATAAAAAGGGGGTTTTGAAAATAAAGTAGAAACGTATTGAAAGACATTTATTTATGCGTACGAAGTAAATGTTGATCAGGCGTATTTTTGATCTGTTTTTTTGTTATTGTTTAGGTTTTCCATCTATAGTGTTTTGATTTAACTCTAAAATTATATATATCATTAAAATATTTTGTTTGTTTAAGCAATGTCAAAAGATATTGATTATTAGTTAAATGGACAGTCAAAAAACTGTCAATTGGTATTTTATTATTAAATTCATCAGATAATCATTTTATGAATTCCATTTAAACGATAGAGCACTGTACTTAAGGCCACTTGTATGGGTGTAAGCTTTTGCACAGTTTGCACATAAGCGCTTGTCACGTCAGGGACTTGGAAAACTTACATTAATCCCGTGCTGCTCCAGCAGCTCCACGCAGGATTTGTCCACTGCATCGCAGACCAGCACTTTCTTGATATTGAGGGGCATTATTGATTTTGTTAACTATATATCTGGACAATCTGGACAACCGGTCGGCAGTGTTAATCTGTGCCAATTACTTTCCGCCACTCACGATCTGCGCCTCTGAGCAAACAAATTGAACTGACTTTGAGAGCGGGAGCGACGGGCCATCGAACCTGACTTTGACCGCTTCTCGCCGGTGCAGTGCGAGTGTTGTTTTTCTGGCTGATAACCGTCTGGAAAGATCGGAGAGCGCCACTGGATCCCCAGTTCTCTCGTTCTCTTTGCACGATCTGTGCTTTTTGGGTGTGCGTGTGAGTTGTTTTCGAAAAGTAAATTCGATTTTGCGGGCAAACAGCCATCTTAACCCATTAACGACCCAATGCCACCATATATCATTTCTATACCCGTTACTCGTATTTTACTAATTATTTTATTTTATTTTGAATTTGAAACAGACTAACGAGTATCTGACAGTCGAAGAACTCCAGTGTAGCGTTTATTCTATTTATACCCGTTACTCGTCGATTAAAAGGGTATACTTGATTCGTCGGAAAGTATGTAACAGGTAGAAGGAAGCGTTTCCAACCTTATAAAGTACATATATTTTTGATTAGGATTACTAGCCGAATCGATAAATCCACGTCCGTCTGTCTGTCCGTCCGTATGATCGCTGAGATTTCGGAAATTATAATCCTAAAAAATTGGGATTTGGCATGTAGATTCTTTAGCTTCTTGCGCAGCGCAAGGTTATTTCAGCAAAATACTAAGGCCACAAACGCTATTGAGGTAAAATAAATAGTTACTGAATCTCAGTAAACAATGCAAAACAGGAAAGTCGGTTTTAGATAAAGAATTGTTTTTTAATTTGTTTTTTGTTTGCATAAATTACATTAAACACGTTTCGGGGACATATCGACGGGATTAACACCATTATTTACTTTGCCAGAAAGTTTAACCATTTAAAAGAAAACAAGGAAGAACGCTATAGTCGAGTACCTCGACTATCAGATACCCGTTACTCAGCTAAATAGAGATATGCAAGTAGCAAAGCGAGATTAAAATGCGCCACCTACCGGCGGTATACAGATTTAAGCGTTTTGGGCGTTAGAGTGGGCGTGGCAAATTTTTTTTGGACCAATCGATAGGTATTGACGAGACCAATACATTTCAGTTAAAATTTTTTATTCAGCATAAAAATTGTGGGCATCACAGGTTTTCGCGGTTTGTGGGCGTTAGAGTGGGCGTGGCATATTCGCGTGACAAACTTGCGCTGCGTATAAAGCTACGGAATCTAAATCTGAAATCCCAATTCTCTATCTTTGATAGTTTCCGAGATATCCACGTTCATATTTACGATTTTTTGAAGTTTGTGGGCGGTTTATGGGCGTTAGGGTGGGCGTGTCTAACCTTTTTTTGGGTCAATCGATAGGTATTGATAAGAACATTACATTTCAGTTAAAATTTTTATTCTAGCATCAAAACTGTAGGAGCCACAGTTTTGGGCGGATTGTGGGCGTTAGAGTGGGCGTGGCACTGTACTGAAACAAACTTGCGCTGCGTAAGAAGCTCAGGAATCTGCACGCCAAATCTCAATAGCCTAGCTCCCATAGTTTCCGAGATCTCAGCGTTCATCCGGACAGACAGACGGACAGACGGACAGACGGACATGGCTAGATCGACTCGGCTAGTGATCCTGATCAAGAATATATATACTTTATGGGGTCGGAAACGCTTCCTTCTGCCTGTTACATACTTTCCGACGAATCTAGTATACCCTTTTACTCTACGAGTAACGGGTATAAAAATGCAAAACAAAAAACAAGGAAGAACGCTATAGTCGAGTACCTCGACTATCAGATACCCGTTACTCAAAGGGAAATGGAGAATGCGCCACCTACCGGCGGTAGACAGATTTAAGCTTTATGGGCGTTAGAGTGGGCGTGGCAAATTTATTTTTGGATCAATCGATAGGTATTGACGACACCAATACATATCAGTTAAAATTTTTTATCTAGCATGCAAATTGTGGGCGTCACAGGTTTTCGCGGCTTGTGGGCGTTTAAGTGGGCGTGGCAAACTTTTTTTTAGGTCAATCGATAGGTATTGATGAGAACAATACATTTCAGTTAAAATTTTCTATCTAGCATCAAAACTGTAGGAGTTACAGTTTTGGGCTGTTTGTGGGCGTTAGAGTGGGCGTGGCAGTCTACTGAAACAAACTTGCGCTGCGTAAGAAGCTCAGGAATCTGTACGCCAAATCTCAATAGCCTAGCTCTCATAGTTTCCGAGATCTCAGCGTTCATCCGGACAGACAGACGGACAGACGGACAGACGGTCAGACGGTCAGACGGACAGACGGACAGACGGACATGGCTAGATCGAGTCGGCTAGTGATCCTGATCAAGAATATATATACTTTATGGGGTCGGAAACGCTTCCTTCTGCCTGTTACATACTTTCCGACGAATCTAGTATACCCTTTTACTCTACGAGTAACGGGTATAAAAAAATATCTTTGGTTTTATTAAAATACATATTCATACTCATACCTTTTTTTTGCATTCCCATAACACAAAGATAATCCCATCAGACAAAGACGAATGCAATTTATTTTCAATATTTTTATTGTATTTGCTTTTAATTGCAATTTAGCTTTCATTTAACTACGTATTTTCCAAAAACATATTGTGAACAACATTTGAATGCGAAAAATGAAAACAAATCAACAAAACATGGCCGAGGAGATTGCAGATGATCATCCTTACCATTAAATTATAGGAATATTACAAAGTTCGTAACAAAATAATTTGTTAACATATTTAAATATCATAAACTATTTACATACAATTCTTGGAAATTGCTGATTGGGTTTTAGTTACTGTTTTCTCTTTTTTTTACAATATGTATATGTTTTGCATGTATAAAATATCCTATATAAATTTGGATTCGGGTTGATATTTCCACAATTAGTTCGTGTTTATTTTTCTGGGGTATTCGGTGTGGGGAACTTTTGGTTAATCATAATATATTGAATAGGGAATTCTCAGGCGTGCTCTTGTCAAAATTTCCACTTTCATTTTCAGTTTAATAGGGGATTTAGGCTAAAAAAATAAGGTTTGCTTTTCTTATTAAAGTGGCTTGAAAAGTAGAGAAGTTGTTACCGCTAAATTTAATTATATATAGGCGTATCCTCCTTAAAGTTTCAGTATTCTTGCTATAAAATTTGTTTGCATTTGTGTGTTTCTTTTAGTTTTTTAGAGTGTCAACAAATTTAAATTGCTTGGTTTTTGTTTTCGTTTGTTTGTTAATCGGAAATAAGATTTGATTATTACAAAAAATTGCTATATATATTAGAAGCAAACCTGTTCTTTTTGCAAAAATGTATGCAGACTTTTAGTCCACCTGCAAGAAGGTTATGTAATGGAATATATGAATTTATCAAGTTTTGTTTTCCGAAACTTTCAAAGAATTTTAGTTGAGAAATTTAAGGCATCTTACAAAATATTTTCAACATAATTCCTATCAGATCTGATGAAATTTTCATGGCAAAGTTCGCCTTTCCGTTTCCAGAAAGTATCTAACAATATCTGGGATAATCTATTATTTTTATTCCATATTAGTTTTTATATTTCGGTTTTCACGCTTACAAAATGCCGGCTGATGTATCTGTTTTGGTTTAAATTTTGTTAATTATAGTAAGAACATACATTTACATGTATAAATGTATATGTACCTTTATAAATGTGTGTACCTTTTAATATATACCATTATCATATATTGAATTACCAGTTCTGTGAATTATGTGCAATATTCTAACATACACATTCTCATCGACTGATCTTTTAAACTTAAGTATTCCGTTTGTCCCCTCCTTAGCTGCGAAGGATCGTATCTAGTTTTGTTTTTAACTTTATGCTAGTATTAAAAAGTAATATTTCATTTAGGTTTAGCTAATACATAGATCATTTTTGTTTGCCACTTTTTACAAGAAGTGCTTGCGTATCATATGCTGCTTTCCATTATATTTAAATGTTTTGTTCCTCGTTAAAGCGCCTCCAGTGCCTTGGCCAACCCCATCCAATTTCGCTTTAAGGGATTTATGCATTTTGAAAGTAATTCGGAAATATACCTCTGAATAAGTTCTCTCAGAGGATGTTCCTTTATTTTGCAGTCCCCCTAGGTTCTAATCCTTCCCCTCCTGAATGTTGCTAACAATTTCATCTAGGTATCTGTATATGTCGTGCGCTGTTCAAATTTGCTTTCCAAAATTTAGTTATATCACCTTGTATCTCTTATATAAAAAAGTACTAGATTTTTGCTTTAATTTCCGGCTTCATGGCCTGGCCTGTCCGCTACACGGTTCTACAAACATCGCCCCCGTGAGGTTCCAGCTGTAGTCCTTGGACAGTAGGATGGGTTCTGTGGGTGTGCTTACAGATCAACTAGCTAGTAGCTATACATCAACTCTTACTCGAGGTGGCGATCGATTTGAATGCAGTGCGGTTCATCATTGTTGGGCGCTAGCTCAGTTCGACAACTAATGATCGACAAATTTAGCATGGTGGTTGGAATTGTAAAAGGAGTGCTCGTTCGGAATGGGCCAGATCAACGTTTCTCGTCTCGACATTACGTGTAGGTACTTACAATACTTGAACAATAATTTTGACGCATTCGACTTTAGCGGATGGTATATGTGAACAGGATGATCCTTTTTGGCCGGGAAATGCAAGATATCTGGAGTGGAGTGGGGTGCGGTTGTGTAACTCGATTTGATGGTTTATAAGGCACTGGTAGTATAAATCGCTATACCTGAACCCGGGTCATCGCAGTGATCTATTTTGGATCCCGACCCAGATTGGAGGCCTGTTCGCGAGCAGTCCAAGTTAAATTTTGAACTACGATCGCGAACTGTGCGCTTTTTGGCAGGTGTGTGGCATGATATGGTGTGACAAGGTATCTAGGTCGAAAGTATTGCTGTTGGAAGAAGGAAGTCTACAAAGTGCGTTTCATTTAAGCTGAATTCATAAGTATTGGACGAAGTATTATATTTATACATTGGATTATATGTGAAATCCATATTTAGACATCAGATTTCTAGCAATATTTAAATCCTAAAAAATTTGTTTCTTAATAAAATGGTTTTGTCCCTATTCCAATAATGGTTTTCTTCTTCCAATTTGTAACCAGTCAAAAAAATTGGAAAAACTAATGTTTTAAAAGTGATTTCACATATTATCCAATGTCTAATTATAATATACTGGATGTGTTTATGAAGAAATGATTGCTAATATTTAGACAGTTCGGTTAAGGTACAAATTTCAGGAAGATCCAAGTTCTTATCAGTCACCAAAAGTAGATTCTAAGTGAGAAATAATAAGAATATTAAACAGATGATGTGTGAATTTAGTTAAACTTAATTATTGTAGGAGTACTTATTTGGCTGTGAAACGCACTGTAGTCCTAGTGTTATTTTTCAACTAGAAGAATTCCTAGCAGATGGGCTCAAGAAAGTGTGAAGATATCAATTCTGTGCAGAGGAAGAAGAAGGATGATGCGAGAATTAGGCATCGATTTGAGATTAAAGAGATTTCAATCGGTTCACAGTCAACTGAGTGTGTGTTGGTGTGTGTTAGGGTGTGTGTGCGGGTGTGGGTGTGTGCTTGTGTGGCTCGACTTAGATTAAGACACGTTCACTAAATTATTAAAGCTGACACTTATGTATGTACTTAGTCAATCGATTGCATAACAAATACGAGACCCATTGGGGGACCAACAAATGTTGTTGGGTGGCTGCGGACTCCCTTTAACTTTTAATTTTCATCTGTCGACTAGCTTAAATCTTAGGCTTAGACCATTTAATTTAAATTCACATTACTCAAATAAAATCTGATTACACTTAGCTATAGCTATAGCATTTAAGACACATAAGGCCCCACTTGGCATTGGGCTGCTTCCTTGGTTTGCTTTAACGTTCGCTTTAACCGCCGCTTTAACGTTCACTTTATATTTAACCAGCTACTTTGTGTGATTTTGTTTCTGTTTCTGTTCGTGTGTTGTGTCTGTGTGTTGCTACCAAATTGATCTGATCTTCGAATGGAACATTTACAAATGTGTCTTGTGTTTTGGCACTGCTGCTTTCGCTTTCCGGCCCTCAAAAAAGTAACCCAAACCTAATCGACGCGGGGTGGCGACTGAAATCTCTTTAATAGAACCGATCCGTGCTCAGGATGTCCTCCTCGTCCTCCTCCACGATGATCTTGTTGCGAATGGCGTGCGTGACAGCTTCGACCTTGCTCATGGTGGGACTGAGGAACTCCTCGCGCAGGGATCTTGGTGGGTGGGCGAAGGACGTGTCCTGCACGGAGTACCGATACTGGGAGTGCGAGTGCGACTGGGAACGCGACTGACTTGTGTGCTGGGGGGCGGCTGTGTACGAGTGGGTGTATTGGGATCTGGCCTGGGGATACGACTGCGGCTGATGCAGCAGCGGATAAAGCTCTCGGCGAGATTGGGTTCCGGGATCAAGGGGGCTCTGGGAGGAGGAGGACAGCCAGTGGGTGCCCAAAGACGACTGGCGGGGCAGGTAGGACGTGGGTGCTCTATTGCTGGGCAGGGAGGATTGGCGGGGCAGGCCCAACGGTCTGGACGACCTCGTTCTGGACTGTAATAGTGACTGAGACTGAGACTGTGATTGAGATTGAGATTGAGACTGGGACTGAGGCTGGTGTATCATGTCAAGATCAAAACTATTGTCGCGTGCTTCCATCAAACCTGGCACTCTCGCATCGATCTGATCCCACCCCTATATCCACGATTCCTACATGGCATTAAGCATTCTCCTACTACTCCCACCACCTCTGTGCGGACTGTATTCATCGCGATCGACAACGGTGGCGCCCCGCGGCAGATCCCGGGGGTCGTCGATCCGGGTCGAGGGTCCGTAGCGGGAGCTGCTCATCCTCATCTGGGCCTCCTCGCGCTCAAACTCGGGATCGTCCAGCAGGCGCCCGCCCCTGGACAGGTGGCCGTGGTGGGAGGCGCCGCTGGGACCGCTCCTCATCGCCGGATACTCAAAGTTGCGCTCGTCCAGCAGCTCGTCGCTGTTCAGGTCGTAGTGCATGAGGTCCCGTTCGCGCCGCTCGTACCGCTCCCGCTCGCGATCCCGCTCGTAGCCACCGCCAACGCCACCGCCGCGCTCCTGGTGGCGACCCGAGGTCGGTTGTCGGCGGCTGTGCTGGTAAGAGGTTCCTCCTGCAAAACGGTCAACACGGCATTTTGTTAATGAAGATGCACTCAATATCATGCATTTAAGGGTAACAAAAAACGTAAAAAAGAACCAGAACTAAAGCATTCAAAAAGGGGTCAAAGGCGATAGTTGGGCGGAGGTAACAGGCCAGAGGTTGCCCTGGTTGGTCAATTGGGGCTTGTGTTCTGTGCCATTTCTAGCTAAGGGGTAATTATTTACTCTGAGTTATTTTACAAGGAAATCTCTTCAAATGTGACCTACGTATTCGGTGCTCAAAGCATTTTATGGTTGTTATTGACTACATAAATTAATTTGACCTTTTTTTTTAAATTTTGGGTAACGTTCTACCTTGATCCAGGTTTATAATTTAGATTTAGTACGACAGACATGATTTTGATCATTTATGAACTTATACTACTTCGTTTCTATTCTATTTTAACTTATCTTAAAACCATTTTGTAAAGAAAAACTAATGATATGTGAGTAAAGAGCCAATTTATAAACTATATAATATCGAATGAGGCATAATTGGATAGCTACTTGGGCAGCATACCTATTGAACTCGTTATAGGTTATGGATTTGCTGAACTTTACTTATACTATACTTTAACAAACTCTGCACTTTAAAGCTTTAATGGTAAATTAAACGATTGGTAAGGTATTAAGAAACAGTAAAACTTAAATTATTTTATAGCGGAATACAAGGGAAATAAAATCTGCAAACAAACAAGTCCTTGCGTCAGATATGCATGGTATAAGTTTTAGGGAACAAGGGTGATTTCGGGAGGCAGTAATAAAGAAAACCAAAAGGTATTGGGTCAAATCGCACAATTAATGTAACGCAAACACATCACGGGGGTTCGGTACTCACTAAACCAGATCTAAACGATTAGGTGATTTGGTTTTGCAACTTGAAATGGTGAAAACATAAGGATCGACAACAACGGAATACATGTACATATATTATAACTGAGTTGATTCGGGTTGAGTTGAGCTGATCTAGGAAAACACCCGGAAGAATGTGAAAATCGAGTAGAAGAGGTTGGCGAAGATCGCGGCAGTTTAAAGGCGCACAACGCCCGGTGTAACTAAAAACAAGTACAGAGATCAGTCGGTAAAACGCACGAATGGTTGATCGATTGATGTCAGATGCTTGAGAAAGCGCGCTAGGGGATCTACAGTGGCGTGCAAATCGGTTTTAGTCGGTTAGTAGAACTCAAACGGCAGAGAGGTAATCTTAGTCAGCTATCGTTAGTGGGCCATCTACAAATGGGTTCTGGGCATCATTGATCTCGAGGGTGTGCGCACACCTCATCTGGAGTTCTTGGAAGTTTTGAGTTGGCAAAGAGTTGTACTTGTGGAGATCGTCGGAGATGTCGGTCGGTGGGTGCTTTAGCTTGTTCCATTTGATTTGGTTTTGATTTCTTTTTCAATTCGGATTCGATTGTCTTTGGCTTTGTACTTTGTACTGTTGATGTCGCAGTTGTGTTGGTCTTGGAGGTTGGATTTGAACTCGGTTTGATATCTATAGCATTGTTGTAAAGGGACCGGGTATGTCACGTGCTGTGAATGCTGTAAAATGTGTGGTCACAAAATAGAAACAATAGAAATAAACGAAAAGTTGAGGATACCGGAGTTTTTGTATAGATTTGTATGTACAAAGGTGTCTAGAAAGCGGGAATTGTAAATATGCCATGAACTGTAGCTACATACAATCGATGGGTGGAGATGTGGGCCGGTATGTCGATAGGGGTTAAACCGGAGCTACTTTCGACCTGAGTCTATGTACAAAAATGCATGAGAGATACAATGGACTACATCTTCAACTGGTTTATATCTTGGGACAAGGTGACTAGTTCTAGCTAAACTTTAAATGGATCGTTCAGTTACGGGTCTCAAAGGACCCAATATAATATCTTTTAAATACAAACTCGAATCTTGAGGCATGTGATACTTAGTGAGTTTACGTATATATTATCGGTAGAAAGGAAACGAAACGAAAAGAAACAGTATAAACGAAATTTACCTTGGTCCCAATCGAACTCTCTATCCCAATCTCGTTCCCGCTCTCTCTCCCACTCGCGAGCCCTCTCCCGCTCCCACTCGAGGTCCCTCTCCCGATCCTTGGAGCTGCGATCTCTGTTGAACTCCCGATCCCAGTAATCCCGCTCCCGCTCCCTCTCGCGCTCCCTTTCCCTGCTATCGCGATCGCGCTCCCGACTTCCCTCGCGCTCTCCGCCGGAATTGCCCATCCTGGGATCCTGATCCTGCTCATCGATAAACTCCTCGCCATCTACTGCTCACATCACACCGAGCCCACCACGCGGAGAAAGGGAGAGAGAGCCAGAAGGAGAATCGATTGGTTTATCGGTACAGTCATGGGAATTTGAATTTGAAAAAGACAAATTTTAGAATTGTATTTTGTATAATTGTGTTGAGTATGTTGAGAAGCAAATGAAAATTGTTTACTGCATATCTGAATGCCGGTATGTGCATACATATTGTCGCTATGTATACATATACTGATATTGATATTGATATAGATATGTGTTTAATGGGTCGGATCGTTTCCGTTTGAATTGGGGGTGAGACTGGATGGGTGACTCTGATTTCGATTTCGATATTGGATTGATTGAAATTTCGCAGCTTCTTGGGCATGGGCTGGGACTTGGTGGATTCGCGCGAATGAAAATGGCAATGCGACCGTAAATGAACCCGACCGGATGGGCAGGTGTTCCTTTACCTGGAGGCGTCGGACCCAGACGCGTGGGATCGGCGGAGGGCGAGGCCTCCTGTGGCAGGGGGCGGGCGATGGGCGGCACAGCTCTTATATCCGGGTGGGTGGCCTTCCAGTAGGTCTGCAAGGGATCATATATGTATCATATATATCATATATCATATATCATATACTAAATGAGACTCAACCCACCTCCAAGTACTCCGCAATGTGCTCGCAGGCATCTTCCAGCTGATTCTCGTCTAGGATTACATCGAACATATCCGGTGGACATTGGGCTAGCTTCTCGGCGGCGACCATTTGAACGGAGAGGTTTTTCGCCTGCGACTTGCCACGTGATTTGATCAAACGCTGTAAAACCTGCCGAAACAATGAACCAGTGAGTATGATCTGAATTATATAGGTCCTACTTCAACCAAAGTACTCACCTTACTACTACTAATCTTTAAGTACACTATTGTTGGCGCTAATGAAGTTTTCGCTAGTTGTGACGGATGATTGATTGTATCACAATCGAGCACGACCAGCTGGAGCGAGCGGGCCAGCTCGAAGATGCGCTCGATCTCCTCCTGCACCTTGCCGAGGCAGTCGCTCCGGCTGGAGGATCGCTCCATGATGGCCCGCTTCGAGGGATTGTTCATGATGGAGCGCTTGGCCAGCGAGATGTCGGCCATCACCCGCGTGATGATGATGCGGCCCTCGAAGCGGTGCTTGAGGAAGTCGAAGAGGGCCTTCTGCATCATGTCGGTCACCTCGTAGCCCTTGAGACTGGGCCCCACCAGGACTACGGGCCGCATCGAGGGCACCACGTCGTAGGGACTGGCCGTCTCCTGCTTCTTGAAGAACGGCTTGCGCTTCTCCTTGTTGGCCGACGCCACCGGGGTCTTGCCATGTCGTCCTGGTCCCATGGAATCTGATTCGTCACCTGAGCGTTAGTATCATGGCAAACAGACGAGATAATGGCAACGGATGAGCGAGCTTATGATTGGTACGAGCCAGTGCGATCGATCAGTACGAATTGCTAGGCCAATTTCAGATATTATCGTAAATACGTAAGACGCTTGTGGGTTAGTAAGGTATATACAGTGTTTCGAGTGGTCACAGGGTTTCCCTCTGCGATCTCTGGGTGTTCTTTTTGTTTTTTTTTTGTTTTGTGCCAGGAAAGTGTGTCGTGTCGTCGGTCTACGGCAGGTTTGAAATTTCAGGTTGATTTGAATTTGTATCTCTTTTGAAACCGGTCTACGCACCATTTAATGCTTTACATAATGCCAACTCGAGGGTGAGGTTTCTTCCTATTAATGTTCAACTTAATTCTACTCGAATATGAAGTGTTCTATTTGCTTAGATTTTACACAACTCTATAGCTCTATGGATAGTCGCTTGCTAAGTACGGGTTCTAATTAGTGGGATTTTGAACTCTTTTTAGACAAATTACATTCAGCGATTATAGCGACAGAAAACAGTGTGTTGGGTTTTACAGACAGATGATCAGTATTTAAGAATGAGTGTCTCTGATAATTGAATTTATTGAATATTTTACTTACGAAAATTTAATAGGATTGGTTGAGAAGTTGAAATACAGTAACTGATTAGTTATTCTGTGATTATCATTTCTTAAATTGGAAAATTGCAAAATGAAATAAGCTTTATCATCTACAATTGAGCAGCTTACTGAAATAATAGGTACCCTTATTCTCAAAATAAATAATTTTTAATGTACCATAGGTATAGACCAAATTCATTTATTAACTTATCCATCTTTTCGTTATATTTCTTTCCATTTCGATTTAAAGATCTTTAAAAAAATCCTGAAACTCACTGAAAGAGCTAGCGATAGTTTTGGCGATTGAAATGGATTTCTGAGGATCTGATGAGAGACGTGGACAAACCTGTTTTTTTCTTGCGCGGTGTTGTACTGTAGGGATCTTGGGTCGCGTTGTGGTTGTTCATTTTGTTAGTGTTGTCAACCGTTTGTGTTAGATAAAAGAGAGTTTGAGTGCATTTAATAGTGTTCACATTGGCTAGGTTAATTTACAAGCAGACCATGAACGAGGAGCTTTGATTTAGACAAACTAGGACGGATAAATCGTGGCTATTGAAGCTGAACAAGTTTGTGTGTACTTTTGTGTGTTTACAGTGGTGAATCGAGAAAAAGGTTCAGGCAGTCTAGGCCGATCTCCTGGAGGATTCGGCTTTTCATGCTGGGTTCTAGGGCTAGCTCGGGGCCGATATATAGACCGTTTGCATAACTAGGGTCGAATTTGCAGCTGGTGGCCAGGTGAACTGGGTACATAATTAAGCATAAACTTGCACTCGTTTTATGGATGTCGCATGATATAATTAGATCAAACACAAAAGTACGAAATTACGGGAATTTAGCTTAGCCCACTTTTTTTTGGATCTGATTTGGTTCGCTTCAAATGAAAATCATAAAACACGCGTCCAATTACAATAAACATCGAAGAGCTCGAGTCGGGCTCGGCATCCGTCTGTCGGACCTATGGATGCTCACAAAAACACACTGGGGCCCCTCGAAAGGAGGCCCTTCGGTGACGATTTACAAAAGTAAACACATTACATAGAAGACAGCGAAAAATATATATAGATTGAAATTAATTCGATTCACAGAATAGAACGGATACGAAATAAAACCTCGCCCAAAAGAAATCAGGAGAATGAAATGTGTGTCATACCAGGTGTGGGGGGTGTGCTACCTCGAGATGGCTCCGCACCTGCTTGTCCGCCCGCACCAAGATTCCCGCTCGACGAGCCCTTTGTGCCATACAGTCTTGAGGGTCTGGTTTGGTTCTGAAATGTTATTTTGGATTAGCAAACTGGGAAATCTGGGATCTGAGGGCGATTTCAGCCAAGAACTATGTGTCGTGTCCAACCTGCATGCGAATGTTGTCTAGCTTAGCGGGGCTGGGTATGAAGCCCACATCACAGCCCTCCTTGACCAGCCGGCCGATCCACCAGTTATTGTCGTACTTCTCTTTGATGTGCAGGAACTCCCGGATCTCGAACGAAACTGCGCCGCCCTGCACCGGCGAATCGTCGTCGATAGCGCCATCGTATGCTACGTTGGTTCGCACAGCGAACGCCACTGGTTTGCTCTGATATATAAAGGATTTTATAAGAAATTTTAGATCTGTCTTAAGGGAATAGCCACAAAATCGTATACCAATGCCATGTAATATAACTTTTTGAATGCTCATTATAGCTAACCAGTATGATCCACTGGCCTATAAGCAACCAACATATCCTTCATAAAGTCTTGGGTCTAATAATGTAATGTTATATAGGACAAAGGGTTCTAACTCCTTACATTTTATATTGTTTGTTTGATTTTTATGCTGTCTACTTGGTATTTTAATAAAATACATTTACTTTAGTTAGTTATTCATGTTAGTTAGTTATTCAGGGATATGATATTTATTTTGTGGCGACATTAAACCCAGTTTCAGATTAAAAGAACTACTCACCCTCGCTTTATCCAACTGGCTTAAGGCCTGACGTTCCTTTTCTCGCCGAAGCGATTCCTTTTCCTCGTCTAGCGACAGATCGGATGACGGTTGTGAGTAGTTCGAGTCGGCAGAACCCTGGAAAAGGCAGCACAAACGGTGGGTTAATAAAGAAATTACTTTGGCTAAAATAAGGCTACATTAAAGATAAATGAATTTTTCCCATCCCCCCGAAATTGAAAACAAATTAAATTGGCCTGCTGCCAAAAGCCCAGCCCAACCCAAGTGACCCAACAATGCAGCGCACTATGTATGACTTTGATTATTTCTTGTTGCCACACACGAAGCAACAGTTGGTGGCAAGTACATGGGCAACGTATTGGCAATGGAGAAGGCTGAATATTTTGACGTGACTCACGAGCTTTTATAATGCAATATTCAGAGCAATTATGATTCACGTATACAAAGAGAATTATAGGAAACTGTATTTTATTCTGATAGTAATAACATGTTGGTAAACAATGTCCTAAACAGTAGTGAAATTAATTCTGGCCATGAAATGTGTATAACAATTTAATTCCTATGTGGGTTTTCGGTATTAAATCAAGAATGACAAATCGGAGACAACGTGTTTTATAGCTATATGTCTACGTATTTCGTTCTTCAAAAAGATTAGGGGTTCAAGAAATTCCTTACAAAATAGAGGAATCTATTTACATACGCATTCCTAAACCAATAATTTAAACGCTTAATAAAGTAAGAATCAAAATGTTAGTCATTAATATTGTACGTTGCTTAATCGTATTATTTCCTATTAATGGATAATAAGTTTAATTGTGACAGTAATCATTCGAATCATTATACCCGTTACTCGTAGAGTAAAAGGGTATACTAGATTCGTCGGAAAGTATGTAACAGGCAGAAGGAAGCGTTTCCGACCCCATAAAGTATATATATTCTTGATCAGGATCACTAGCCGAGTCGATCTAGCCATGTCCGTCTGTCCGTCTGTCCGTCTGACCGTCTGACCGTCTGTCCGTCTGTCCGTCTGTCTGTCCGGATGAACGCTGAGATCTCGGAAACTATGAGAGCTAGGCTATTGAGATTTGGCGTACAGATTCCTGAGCTTCTTACGCAGCGCAAGTTTGTTTCAGTAGACTGCCACGCCCACTCTAACGCCCACAAACCGCCCAAAACTGTAACTCCTACAGCTTTGATGCTAGATAGAAAATTTTAACTGAAATGTATTGTTCTCATCAATACCTATCGATTGACCTAAAAAAAAGTTTGCCACGCCCACTTAAACGCCCACAAACCGCGAAAACCTGTGACGCCCACAATTTGCATGCTAGATAAAAAATTTTAACTGATATGTATTGGTGTCGTCAATACCTATCGATTGATCCAAAAATAAATTTGCCACGCCCACTCTAACGCCCATAAAGCTTAAATCTGTCTACCGCCGGTAGGTGGCGCATTTTAATTTCACTTTGCTGCTTGCATATCTCCATTTCCCTTTGAGTAACGGGTATCTGATAGTCGAGGTACTCGACTATAGCGTTCTTCCTTGTTTTGGATTCAAATGTTCAGATCTTGTATTGATATGGTTTCAATTAAGATTTATCACTGTACCTTTAAAACTAGATCAATCTTAGATTAAATACAATTTCAAAAAAATAATTAATATTGAACGATCATATAATATCTATTAACATATTTATTCCTTTCCAATTGATTTAAAAAAACGAAAAGCTTTAGACGACTAGATGTTCTTAGCACCTGTGTGAACAGTTTGTTGTATCCACTCTGGTAGGAGGGGTATCCAAGGCCAAATCGAGACTCTCGATGTTGGCCACCCTGAACGGAGGGTGCATCCGAGGATGAGGCGCGCTGCACCATGGGCCTGTCAGCCCGGTAGTCTTCTTCGAACGAAGATATCTTGCCGATGTTTCCGACGACCCGGTGCGAGGACAACAGCAACACCAGCACCACCAGATGGTGCGAGTGCGGTGCTGATGATGATGATGATGGCGGTGGAGGTGGTGATGATGCTGGGGGTGGTGGTGGGCAAGACGTTGAGCTGGCAATGGTTACGTATGTTTATCCCAAGACTGTTTTTATTACTATCCGCTTTCGGGGAGCGTAGAGTTGGCAAGACGAGTGGTTTTCGGGGGGATATCTTTGTACTTATACGGAGGAATAACTGCGTTTCTGCACACTAAGCACTTTATGAAACCAATGCTAGCTGGTTAAGTTGCAATCACCACTAGTTTGTATTTGTGTTTTGTAAAAAGACTATAAAAGCACTCTAAAATGGATGCTCAGGCTTATTTAAGATTTACTAAGCATATTCCACTTTCAACTTGTTTTTTGGCAGGACACAAAAGTTTAATTATAGCACTTTTGTGTATGATTAGCATTGACATTGGCAATATTCTACGGCTAACGATTGTAATCATGGGGTTAGGCGGTATTCGATTTTGACACTGACACAAAAACACCGATATCCAGTGTGCGAGAGAGACACTCCGATAGAGAGAGACAGAGACAGCGAGAGAGAGAGAGAGACGATTGTCAAACGGTTTGGAAGCCACAGGCGAAATAACTTTAAATTGTTAACTGGAAGGGATTTCCGCAGCCTTTTCTCGCCTTAGTTTCAGCACAATTTGCATACGGCTGGCGATTCGGAATTGATTCCGCATCGGTGGCAATTTGGCCCCAGGAAAGTTAAAAATAGGAATTTATGTCAGTGGCGTCGGGTCGCGGTTCTCTGCTCACATCACTTTTTTCTAGTATATGCACACAAAATGTACTGGAAAACACGGAGAGAGGGGTTAGAACAGGCGAATAGGTCGCGAAAACTGATTTCCGTTTAGCGAGGTTGTACTGCTTTTTGTGTTTCCGCAAACCAACCGAGTCCCAACGCTTTTAAATCCTTCACTAGCTATATCCTGTACCGATTCGCGGGTATCTTTCACAGGATTTCACTCGATTCACATCCTTCGATTTCGATTCGATTGGGACCCTCGCCTTTCCGACTTTCAAACGGTTCTACTCCGCACGCAAACTGAATCGTTTCTGTATGTGGAAGGCGAAAAGTCCGCTCCGCTCTGGAAAATCGTGTAGAGTTTTCTCGTCCGCTTCCAGTGCGTAAATGCTCCAATCGTTTCGAGGGACATACATACATAAGTACGTACGTATGTGAACATTCCCGCGCACACACACCACCACAAGTGGCCGAGTGAATGTAAACAAATTAGGTTTTCAAGTGCAAACGGCGTTCTCGTCCCACTGTGCGACTGGAGTTGTTTGTGTCGAAAGGGGGTTGATTTTCCGCCCCCTCAAGCCCCCTTCAAATCCAAATCTCCATCGAAAGGAGCGCGCTGTCATCGCTGGTCAGCGGTGTGCCTGGAAAATCGATAGCTCCCGCACTCTTCCGCGGGGTGCGGGGGTGGAAAGGGGGTGGTGGTGGTGCGTCCACCTGTTGGCAACCCCGACAATCGGCCGCGAGCGCCAATCGCTCCCCAAAGGGTTACAGCTGTTGGTCGCAGCCCACTCATGCATAAATATTTATACGTATTCAACTGATAACAGATGTATGTTTATAGGTAGGTACAACTTAACCACAACCTTTTTTTGTATTTAAATCCACATTTCTGGTTACTACTTCTTTATCTAATTTGTCTAATCTTTAAATGCATTTCCCTGGAAGCTTCAAAATTCACTACATTTTGTCTATCAACCAATATCACTTAAAAATTACTCATAAAATTTTTTTTCAATTAATTTTAGGCAGTTTATTAAAGTACATCGAACAAAAGCTTAATAAGCTAGATTAAAAATCTTATTTAATTTCGGGTTGAAAGACTACCTTTAAATCGCTCCACTTGAATATACATATCACAAAAAGCTTTAAAAAAAACCTTTTGAAGATACTTGCGAAATATATGGCTAATATGACAGCTAAGTTCTAGAATCTCACTTATTTTGGATGTGTAAATTTCTATGCTAGTCATGTAAAGTAAAATATGATTGTGAAACAACGTTTCAAAAAACCAGTTAAACGATTCTCGAAACATTCCAGAACCAGTTTTTGTGAAACAAACTATTTAATTAAGGGGTAATATTGGGTTTGTGGCCCAAGAAGAAGAACTTTTAAATGAAGAAAATAACTTTCAAGGATTATATCTCCTAAATTATTTGTCCAACGAATTAAACTTTTTGGGAGTGTAATCTCGACAACTTTAACTATTTAAAAACAACGATTTTTTTATTGGAAACCCCATGTATTCCCTTATAAAGTTATTCTGGGCTAAATGATAAATGATTAAACATTTAACTAATGAAATCTTTTGTACACATTAAAAAATTTTTTTTTGAGGACAATAGAAAAATTATAGTGCTTAAAAAATTTTAATCTATTAATTTCTGTTTAATTTAAAAATGTTTCCTTATCACACTGTGCCCATAACGTAAACATTCCGTTTTCAGTTTCCCCACTCAAACTGACAGGAGGCGAGAGAGATTAAGAGAGCGCCAGATTACTTTCTAGCGAGCGGGGTGGAGGTGGAGAGAGCGAAGGAGCATGCGCAGGAGGCAATTCTCCACTTTCACACTGCGCAGGCGTCGTCTTTTACTGCTTTCCACTCTTGCTCTCTCCGACTCTCCCATTTAACCGTTAACGGGGAAGGTCGCGGGCGATGGTCCCAATTTGCGATTACACATTTCCAAAGGCGATTCAAAAAACAAAGGGGATCCCCCTTTATTCGCGGATGCGTGGGGTGGCGGGGGTTCTTTGGGTCGATTCTTTGTTTACCTTTCGACGATTGTACAAAAGTCCCGTAGAACTTTGCAGCGGGCAAAGTGCCCAACAACTAGTAATGAACTTTGGTTGCCATCGAAACCCCACCGCCACCCATTCACCGCCCACTAACACCCACACCACCCATTTGTTCGCTAGTTTTTTCTGCGGGTGGGTCAACGCTCTGGATTCCATTGCAATTTCCCTCGCACCCCTTGACAAATATTTTCATGGTCAGCCCGATTGTTTCCCACTTTTCCGGCACTGCCGATGACCGCGCGTCAGCAAATTGCTCCGCACCGTTTGGCATTGTATTTCCGTCCGCGTTTACAGATGGCTTTAATAACAATGACGACGATTGCGAAAAGTGCATTAGGAGGTATTTACATATTTGGGTTTCCCCAATATATTAAGGTAGTACATGAAACTAATAATAATGGTGTGTTATGCCTTTTGTTAAGTGCTTTTTGGTAAGGATTTTATGTTCTGACCTAGTGGGTTCTCATATAAACCTTGCTTGAATAATGCATTTTGCTTACCGCTTCGACACCACAAATGGTTAAATCTAAAAATACATGTTTATTCACAAATTTAAATGGAAATGGTAATGTTACTATTATTATGAAGAGATTAACATGAAATACCATGATCGTTCCATTCAATAAAGGTAATTTGTACGTACTATTTCCTAAGCATAATAATATAATGTGCTCTGTATGTAAATATGCACTTTTCAAGAACTTTGAGAGTTTGACCGCATAAAAACAAATTGAATGGAAACGCAGGGGGAACCCAAAAACCGAAAAGTGTTCTACGAGTACCGCAAAAGTATCAACATTGACTATGCTTGCGGGCACGCCGTTCAGAATTAAAAGATGAGTAAGAGGTGTGATAGCCTCTTTGGCCCCTAAATTGTCTGTGAGAAAACTGAGAGATTTAAAAAAAGCACACGAAAAAGTCACACAACTACAGTGCGTATGAAAATTAAATATCCTTAAAAATATTTATAGGTGCATATATCAACCAGAGACTTGCACGAGTAAGTTAAAATATACTATATATTTTGTAAAAATAATTTGACAACTGGCCATCTGAAGCATACTTGAATTTCTTTTTTAAACGTTAACGTTCTTCAGAACATGAAAACCCAGTATGGGCCACGATAACACATTTGTGAGTTGTGACCTTTCGAAACCGTACATGCATTCTTCAAGAATATAAGACCGCGAATTCTTCAGAACAAGAGTACTATAAACATTTGAAATTAATGAAACTTTGAAGGACTATGAATCTAAAATGTAAATTAATCATCAAAAGTCACGTATACTTTGACGATTATAAGAAACCCACAGCAAGGAAGACTAGTCGTATGAGTGATCTCCCATCCGATTTAATCGCTCATCCGCCCAGTTGCCACTGAGTTTTGATACCCACTGTAGGCACTCCGTGTGTGTGTGTGTTTAAATGGTCGCGAACAGGCTGACAAGCTGGGCGAGCCTGACAAGCTGCGAGCGATCGAGTGGATAAAAATATACGGATTCCGCCCGGGCCCGGGGGCAGGGCCGCGACATTAAAATTGTGGGGGGAGGGGTGATCGCGCGACTTGGGAAGCTGATCCCTTACTTCGACTCACCCGACGGTTCTTGTTCCTGAAGGGCTTGTAGGACTTGCCCTTGTGCTTGGCCCCCAGGTGCAGCTTCTTCATGGCGGAAACTTGGCTCAGAAGTGGAATCACAAACGGAATAGGAATCGATAACGGACTGTGGTGTGCGTCTCGCGCGAATTGTCCCCCCGAAGTCAATTATGCAATCATTTTTGGAATCGTTTCTGCGGTCGCACGGCAAAATAAACAAACACTCAGGCGTTATGGCCACTAATCGTTAAATGGCCAAGAGCCACACACACGTTCACTCATCGAATGGGGTCACAATGGGGCCGATTTCGAGATTCAAAGCCCGACACATGGCACCGATTTGGATACGGGCAACGCCATCCTGCGATGGCAGCACTTCTGGAAAAATATGCACTAGTATCGGGGCTACGTAGGCGATCCACTGGCGACTGCTTTGGCCGGGCAATGTGGAGCAGATCAGAGCGGTTCGCGGCGGAGACGAAAAACGACCGACCGCACTAGACAGCAATTTCGACTGACAATATTTTTGGCACCCGCGCCGCATCCATTGACAAATATGCCCGAGAGAGAATCCCTCGGAGATCGCAGAGAGTCTTTAGTAATGGGAAATTCAAGAGGTGAAATGCTCGGGAAATGGTTTTCAATAATCTATTTGATGACGGCTGCAGTAGTAACATAAATACAGCCGACGAGGTGACAGAGGTGAATATGGGTTTCTTCAGGAATATGCTGAGATTGTCTAGTATTAAGCTCTTTGAGTAATTATTTTCTTTAATTACACACAATACAATGCTAAAAAGGTCTGATTCATCACAAACAAACAAATTACCCATCTATAATAAGAATAAGAAGAGTATAATGTTTTTTTCTTAAATCGGTTTAATCAATGGTTTTTATAAACAAAAGTCTTGTCTTCAAAGCCGTCGTCCTTAGAATATTCTGCCTCTAGAACTGCTGACCCTGGATCCCCTGGCCCAGTCCGCGTAGTTCCTCCATGAGAGCCGCCATTCCTATCCTCTGGTGATAGCGCTGGTGCTGCTCCTGGTTGGGCCTTCCCAGGTAGAAGGGAACCTGCTCCGTGTAGGCGCCGGCGGATCCGTAGGCAGGGGCCTCCTGGGCACAAGGGGCGGGGGCGAGGTTGGGCTGGCAGCTGAACAGGTAGTTGGTGGGACAGGCGGGAGCCGGATAGCCAGGAGCCGAGTACGGGCAGGAAGCACCAGCAAGGGCCACAAACGCAGCGACGATCAAAGCGACGATCTTCATATTTAATTCCGTAATTTGTAACTGTCACTTTGTCACCTCAATGAGGCCTCTTATAGGTTCGTGCGTTTACCAAACTAAAACTCTGCATTTTTTAGGTACGCTCAAAAACTGCAGTGCCAACACATGGCAAGCACTTTAAACTGGGTGAACGGTGATTCAGGTTTTCATTAAGGTCTTCCAATAAGCACCGAATAAGTCAAAAACGATTGTCGCCATGCAGTCTGTCCCTCTTTTGTGGGTTCATCACAAAAAAATAATTAAATAATGCAATAAAGTGCAATGAGTAATTATATTTTTCATTTTGCAGTCTCAGCATTATATTGACCAAATATGTTTGAACAATTGCAGTATTTCCCTTATTTGTGCGTTCATCACAATAAAGTAATCAATCAATTATGTTTAAGGTGCAATGTGTAAATATATTTTTCCCATTTTTAGAGTCTCAGCTGTTTTTTGACCAAATGTGCTTGAACAATATCTTATTGTTCTGTTTATATCATACAGTTTTGACCAGTTATGTATGGTCAAATAATGATTTGGTGTTATTTATGGTAATATTGTGTCGACTTTTGGATCAGCTCTATTGGCTTATTTTTTTAAAAATGTTTGCGACCTTCTCTTCCTTTTCTTATCCTAATTTTATATTATCTATTCTCGTTCTTCTCTGTTTCTACACTTTTATAAAGATAAAAAATGCAATATTTTTGAGTCAAGGCGCCATGTGCTCTTCCTCTTCCATAAATATAAGTCATAAATTTTCCGATCTATTAACACCAACCTCTTCGTTCTCCTTGACCCCCCATTCAGCATAGAAACAACCCCTCACCACTTTCTTAATTTTTTCTGTCTCAAAACAGCGATTTCACAAAGTGGACCACCTAGCCAGTGTTGTGAAACGGCAGCACGGATACTTTTAACATTTTAACATTTTGCTGACAGATACGTTTGAGCCTAAATGAATGCAACACTTTTTGATGGGCGTAGCGCATAGGTAAGGGGTTTGAGTAACGGGTATATGCAGTCGAACGTAGCGCCACAACAGATCAGTTAGCGAATACAGGAACCAGTATACGAGATCAGGCTTTGGAGACTTTTTCGTTGTCACTAGTTTATCGTATTTTTAGAGTTTACTACCAAATATCGCGTTGATTATCCAAATCCATGATTTAATACATTTATTTACATATATATGAAAATTTTAAATAAAAAAACAGTTTATTTTGTGAAAATAGTTTTTATAAAAATGTTGCTTAATAAATTAAACCTTGAAGTCAAAATTATTTGGTAAAAGGAGTATATTTTATTGTCTGTGTATTTCCTTCACCGAAATTGAGCAACAAATGGAAATTTTGTCGGACAGTTTATGTCATCTTTTAGTCATAACTCGTATTTGACCTGCGCCCAGTTATTATGGAAATCCTAATTGACCCAAAAGAATCAATCGTAAATTTATTTGTAGAGTGCATAAATTGCATGCTCCATTTTAAAATGTATCCTATGCAAATAAAAATTCAAGTTTCCTGGAAGAACCAAATAAATAAAAAACAAAATAAAAATTCTGTTCAAAAATTTTTGTGGAAGAAATAAACGAATGAACGATTTTCTTAGGGTAAGGGCCAATTAAAAAATATATCTTAAAACCTTATTGTTTTATACACCTTACGAAGTTGCTATTATAGTATTTAATTATTTAATTTACTAACTTTAACTGGTTTAATAATTCAGTGGTTACTGCAAACGTAAATAACTTTAATTGTGGCGATGAAAATAAACCGTTTCTCATGTCGAATCGAAAACCCCTCTGATCATGTTTTGGATCTAACTTTCGTTCCCCCCGAACGAAGGGAGGAGTTAACTTTAATTTGAGAAGGATCGCGACCGCCGGATTGGGACAGGCAATTACGCACATGCACCATATACTACACATACGTATGAGATCAGCCTGTATCAGACCTAAATTTTAATCATAGGCTTTGTGCCGATCGCCTGCCGCTGGCCTTCAAAGTGGGGCACCTTCGTTTTGGACTGGATGCCCCGAGAGGCGGGGGGATAGCCGTTTTGATTACCCCCTCTAACGGTAAACAAATACCTGGCCTGTTTGCGAGAGAGATCGATCCAGACATGGCCCCAAGATATACATCTTAACTGGAACTCCAATTGAAGATGCGCGTGCACTCGAAGAGCGGAATATTTTGTTCAATGGCCTTGGGATGTATCTTAGGTGGAGTTTTAATTGATGATTTAATGATCAATGAATATTAAAGCCCGGTTCCAGGGCTAAGACTTTGGTTTATAGAGCCCTCCGTCTACTAATTTTTATTGTCTTCAGCTCCTTTGTGTTCTGTTAGCCTTTTTTTTTAGACAATGGCCAGGGATCGGTGGCCTTAATCGGCATTGGCTCGAGCCACCTGCCTTCGCTTAGACGGCAGCTAAGACTGACCCAGCTGCTCCAGCTTTTGCTCCCTGACTTGGTCCTGCGGCTGAGGAGGAGGATCCAGAACACACAGGGCACACATGGAGACAAACACCGAAGGCAAAAAGCAGACAAGCCAATAACATGTCTCGGTACTTAGCGGAAGGTCCGGCGCCGGATCCTCCATGATCCTTCGCCCACGGGCGATGAGTCCTTGCACTGAGAAAATGTTGCTTTCGAATATGGGGTACCTTTTTAAATTATACAAATGCTATAAAATGCCTAGTTTTTCACCATCTATCTATATACTACAGTATCTATCTATAGACCCCGAGTACCCAAATAAATTGGGAAATAAATTGTATCTAAACTAATCTTTAAATATTTTCCGTAAGCTAAAGACGATTACCTGATTGAGACTTGGTGCCTAAAATACGTTTGACATTTATATACAAAGTGCTTAAACTTTTTATGTGAGTTCTACAACAGGTAAGCCCCACTCATTGTCTTCTCTATAAGTTATCCCTTTTTAGCTTTAAATCGCTTTTTGATGCACAACGTTTAAGGATACTTTTTTCAGTGCTTAAGGAGTAGCCTGCGCTGCAGCCTAACACTTTTTACGGCATCTAAGTTGATCGGGCCAAAAAAGAAGCCAGTTTGTTGCCACACTTTCCTCCTGGTAATTTAAGACTCTGTTTCTTCGCCACCACCAACAGCAGTCGTCAATTATGAGATGGAGTTGGCCAGAGGGATCCTCCAATCGCAAACGTTGACGAAATGCCGAGCTTTGTTTTAAATTAAATTTAATTAGCAGCAGCTCAGGCGAACGAACACCTTTCAGGTGCTCCCCTTACGAGCAGGCCGCGTCTTTATAATTCATGCCTTCGGAACGGGGCACGTGTCTGTTTTGGCCAGAAACAGAAGCAGCTGCAAAGGCTCCAACACGGGGCCTAACCAGGCCAAAACTGAGGGATGGGGATGACTACATATAAAGAGGCAGGGGATGGCGATGAGGACAAGATCCGTGTGCAACCAGCGCTAACAATGCCGTTATAAGTGCCCCATTAACACGGTGTCAACCGCCATGCAACAGCAATTTCCGTCGCCATTGCCATTTATCGATTTTCAAATTCCATTCAGCGCGGATTTCTATGGGAAAACGGAAAGGGAAGTGGAAGGGGAAGCGTACTCCTAGGATATAGTCGTATTGAACACGATTAATGGGGCCAACTAGTTGGCGGATGCACAGGGCCCGGATGTTCAGCGCAAGGATGTTCGCTGGGCCACTGGTGGGTCACAGATACAATTCGAGACCATTTATTTAATAAAACTTTATTTATTGGCAGTAAGTGCATTTCAGCCCATCGAAATGAGGGCACACACAATAGGTTCTTTATAAGAATAGTTGGTGAATGAATAACCCAGAGAGTGTTTTTAGATAGAACATAAGTTAAACAAGGATTTCATGAAGTTATATTAGTAGAATAACAAAATAATTTCTTTTCAGGGCGATCCCGATTTTACTATTGAGTTTAAATGTTGAACTCGAAAGTGTGTTTCCTAGAGAAAGGTATTTAACTAAATATCTAATTTCTATTACGATTTAGATGATAAAACTATATTGACTAGAAGATTTCCAAGTATTAAAAAAACGGACTCAAAGTTCAATCAAATTGGACAACATTTATCGAAAACAAAGTTGCAAATATTTAATTTTGATATTAAAGTATAAGAAGTGCACATGAATTTTAGATTATATGAAAATACTACACAGATATTTGTAAATACTTGGCTATGAGTCCTTGCTTTGAACACTTTTAGAAA